CAGTAGCCAATGGAACATTTTAATATTTGTTTAAAAAACTAGATATCTTGAATTGCATTGCCTTTCTCTTAGTCACTTATTTCCTGTCTGGATGTGTCTGATGTTCTACAGCTGATGACATTAAATTACATATATTTAGCCAAGGTAAAACAAGAAGTGCTTTCTACATAGAACAGCACTGAATACTACTGCTATTAAGCTTCTTGTATTTAGTGTGTACAAACTGAAAGTTACTTTTTTTAAAATTGGTTGTTGGTATGTACTGGCAGTTGTGAAAGAGAGTGATTTCTTCAGGAAGTATGTGTATTTATATATTTCACTACTGCAGATATGCAGGAATTTATAGCCAGTGTCTTGTGGTCATTTTTTTTTTCCTTCTTTTCAGGAACTAATGGGTGAAAACAACTTTATATTGTATCAATTTTTTTTGCCTGTACCTACATAGTTACATTTTGGTAGTAGGAGATTGTGTGCTTATAAAAAAAAGTTTATGATACAGAAAAATTTGTTTCTAAAATAAAGGTCTCAGAACTATTAGGTCATATTTATATATTTCCTTTTTAAAAGTGCAGAGAAAAGCTCCTCTAGGATGAAATTTTATTAAAATATGGTTTCAAAATCAGTTATTATCAGATAGTAAGCTATTCATTCTTTGCTATGAGCTATGCTGAACTTGAAGAACAGTTTTTCTGCAAAAACTGCTTGGTTGCGTTGAATATTCATAGCTTGAATGATTGAATGGCTTGGATTTACAAATATGCCTCGTGTATACTGCAGTTTATTTTGTTGCTTTTTTATATAGGTTCCTATTTCTTTGTTTAATAAAATAGGAGTTTCTCACTGAAAATGCCAGGACCTGAGTTGCTCAGATTGTGGCCATTTTAAGGCCTTTGTCAACCTGTAAGCATTCCATTTCAACCAGCTGATTTATGCTGAATTGAAGGAACTCTGTGCAGCAGGGATGTGGCTTATGTATAAATTATATTTAAACTGCAGTATCCTATTTGGATGTGAGAATAATGCTTTGAATATCATTAGTAAAGATGACATCTTGTTTAGATATAGTTGCCTGATGTCACATGGAAACTGAATTCTTCATCTCCTTGGCAGAGAGATGCAGAGGACTTAGATCAGTGCTATGGTTGTTACAGAACATGGGTTTTTACAGTAGTCTGAATTGAATACAACCATTCCTGTGCTCAGTGGATCTTGGCAGTGCAGGGTTAATGGTTGGGCTCGATCTTAAAGGTCTTCTCCAGCCTAAATGTTTCTATGATTCAGGGATTGGTTTCTAATTTTTGGGGTTTATATTTTTTTAACTATGTATTTGCAGCTTGATTTGTAAATGAACCAATACTGTGTTTTAGTCATTCTCCCAGTGCTTCTTAAAACTTGTTCTTGCAATGCAAATGTTGCAGCCTGCTGTTTTCAGTGCATATTTGTATTTGTTGAAGTGTTAGGAGCAAAATGTTTGAATTGGATCAGGATTTTCAAGTCCAGTGAAAGCCAAACTACCTCATGAAATAGCTACTTGCCAATAAGGCTCCAGTTTAACAGCAGTTTCAGCAGTAGTTATTAGTCAGCTTGTGAGGTCTCCTCCAACATCCCTTGGCCTCTCCCCCAGGTTTCACCAATTTTTAAGTGCTGTGTAGGGAAGGATCTTTCAGGTTGTTGCTGCTTAGGCATAGACTATTTCTACCAAAAGACCATGTTGTTCCTCTAGTGCCTTGCTCCCCTTGACTTGGCTTTTAACCTTTATAGACACTGATTCTGCTAATAAAATTTGTTAGAGGATGAGATTGTTGTTTTAACAGTAGTTAAATTCACCTTTCAATGGCTCTGAACAAGTTGTGTTCCCGTGTTGTAAATGTGGTTTTCTATTCCCAAGTGCAATTTAATGATGCGTCTTCAGCTGAGAAGTACCATTTATAGTGACAAATGAGAGACTGCAGTTAGAGAGGTTTCATACAGTGCCAGAATCTCTCAATAACTCTCCTAAAAGCTAAATTTAATTTGTTCCACAAATGTCTTGAAAAGTTCACTTGTGTATGTGCATGCATATTTACTGTACAATACACATTTCATTACTGGAACAGGAAATTACTGTTAGGTGATACTGAATGGATAACCAAAAGTAGTAAAAGTACATATTCTCTTTGCATTCAGCAGCTGGCATGTTAATTTCTTGAGTCTTCCAAAATCCACTGTTAAATCTTTTGGCATAAATTTTACTTTAAGAAGGTGGCCTTCATTTTTTAATGAATGGTACCAATTCAGCTTACATTGTACGAGAGATGCTTTTGCTGATAAGTAACAAACAGCTTTTGTCATGTTTACCTGCCCTACTGCTAAAAACATTTTTTGGGCAATTCCAAAGCATTGAGAATGCTTGTTGTCAATCCCCCCATCCTGTTCCTCCCGCCCCCTGTTTTCTGATTGCCATATGCTCTGTGCCTAATTCTGTGTTTTTTTGTATTACTGTAATATATTTATCTGCTTTTTAACATAGATGTTTTTGCCCAGGCACTTGTCTACATAGCTTTTTTTGCAGTGAGTAAAAAAAGTTACAAGTATAGTGTAGTTGAGGTTTAAGACTGTGTAAGAAATAAAATTGTGTGAGACACTTGTATATGTGAACTAAGTTAAAGCTCTTAGTTGCTGTTTAGGAAAAGATACACATGTTTAGTACATCAAAATGCTTCTTTTAAGCTTGTTCTTTAAACTTACTGCAACAAAAGTTGAAAAACTGTGTAAAATGCCAGTATTAGGTAGCAATGCTAATAGATGCAAAATCAATTGGGTAATACAGTAATTAATAAATTATTGTGTTAAATAATTATTAAAGGAACATTTAAAATATATATGTAATGTGAGTGATTATATACTATGTAATGTGAGTGATTATATACTGGCTAGTGATACCTTTACTAGAAATGCTGGGATCACCTGAAGCCTAATTTAAATAAGAGCTTTAGTGTAACAAAAAGTAAATTCCTAGACATTATGCTGTGGAAAGGTTAATATGTTAAAATTGTCTGTTGAAAAGCACAAAAGAGACAAAACAGTTCTGTCAGTACTGATGTGAGCCTTCATGGTGGATATTTTTCTGGTGATGTAAAAAAAAAAGAGGTTACTTAATTTCAGAAAATCCTTTAGTTTGAAAACTTTTTCTCGTTTTCATTTCTGATTGGTAATGTTTCATGTTTTTTGAAACTTTAATGAATTGAAATTAATCAGAAATCTGAAGTATGAAGGGCATTGGACATGTAGCTTCAGTATCACCATAATTCTTTTATCCTTTGCAAGTTTGTTTTTAACGTGTTGTTTGTAATGCATTGTCCAGCCTATCACGTTTCACCTTGTTTCTTCTGTTTGGATTTTTTTATTTTTGTAGAGATTTAAATTGAGAACCAGGGAATACTATTGGGTGATGAGCTTCAGGTGAAAAGTAAAAGTGCTTTTTCACAAACTTTGGCTGTCTCTTTGAGATAGTGTTATAATGTATAATTTTGAACAAGTGAAATATGGCTGCCTGGAAGCTCAATCTCACCATGTTTGCCAAAATGGTTAGAGTCCTGTGTAGACTTCAGATCCTAGTTCAGTGTGTATTTTTCAGATTTTACTCTTCTGTGTTCCTCCAAATTTAGTCTTTCTCTGCAGCAAACCAAAATAAAATTCCTCCTATTGCTTGGATTCTAGCGTCGTCAGTTGGAGATACTGGTAGCCGAGTTTTGACCAGTTTTGAATGTTGTTAGGTTTTTGTTGTTTTGTCTGCTGTAGTAAGTTGGAAAACACTTTGTGTTCTTCGTTGCAAGAACTTTTTAAAAGCTTAGTCATGGAAATTTTTTTGGAGGAGGGTTGATGGTAGTGGTACATGGTGTGGGTATGGAGTTGCTGGATGACGTGCCTGTAAGACATACTGTTTTTAACTAATAGGATAATTTGAATTTTATATTTAGATAAATCTAAGTATCTTTTTCGGTAGAAGAAAGGGAAGTCTTATCACTTGTTTCACTAACATCTAAGTACATACTGATTTCCAGCACTGATTAATTCATTAATATTATATATTATGACAGTGTTGTTCTTTAGCTCTTGACTCTGATGTTTACTCCATTGACATATTTTTAACCAAAGTAAATAATTTTTTTTTGGGCTTCTTTCAAAAGCAAGATTTCTTCCATCCAACTGGTTAGCTGCTTATCAAGCAAAAGGAACTCCAGTTGGAATTTTGCTGTAGTTCTTTGCAACAATACTGGAGAGTATTCTAAATAGTCTTTCTGGTGTTATGTACATTGATGTTAATGCTTCCCTGCTTCTTTTGGGGAAATCTCTCTGGGTCTTCCTCCATCCCGATCTGTGTTGACTGCATCATGTTATTAGTTGGTTTTTCCTTTTTTATGAGTGAGATCATAGTTTAGAATTGACATTTTCCTACCTTAAATCATTGGTTTCATCAGCTTTTTGTGTCCTCTGGGTCATCCCCTGTCTCTGCTCTGATCTTTCCCAGCATTAATGACGCTTCTTGTCTTGCTTTGTTACTTTTCTACTTTGTGTCCAGTTCCTTAGTGCAAGCAGCTCTTAAAAAACTTTGGGATCTATTAAGGGTTCACCACTGTTTTATTTCCTTCAAAAAATCTCTGGGTAGCCACTAACTGGTTTTACTTTAATATACGTTGGAGTTCTTATGTGAGCTCTTGTTAGACATGATTAATATGTTATTCCATGTTACTTTTTGAGATGCTTCATTGAAAGTGAGGTGTAAAGGATTTGCTGTTGTCTCTGTCAGATGACTAATTCTTGAACAATCTACCTTCCGTGAAACTAGCACTTGTCTCTGCAGAACTTGTTCTGAAGCCTTGAATTTGACCTAAACCAAGTGAGATGGCTCACTTAAAATTAATTTAATGTTTATAATTAAAATAAACTAAATTTTTAATATAATAAAGCATTAATAATATCAGTAAACTTTTCAAATAGAGTCTGAATATGTCTTTCAGCCAATGGTAATGACAACAAGAAATTCAAAGGTGATGATAAAATGGATGGGGCTCCTTCTCGTGTTCTTCATATCAGGAAATTGCCTGGGGAAGTGACAGAAACAGAAGTTATTGCTTTAGGTTTGCCTTTTGGTAAAGTAACCAACATCCTGATGCTGAAAGGGAAAAACCAGGTAATTTGTTGCTTTCCATTTTTTAATATGCTTGCTGTCTGATTTCAAAATATATTGTTAAAATGCTGTTGAAGTAAGTTGTAAAGCAGTAAGTATTCTAGAAAAATGAGGTTTTGTTCCTTTATTTTTTAATGAATTTATGCCATCTTTTAGTAGATTTTTGGGGGAAATGGGATGGTTGGCAGCTACGTAAAGCAAGAAGTTAGGTTGGAAGATAAATATTTATTCTTGCATCTTCACAGATGAATTTATAGAGATGAAGTAGCTTAATAAATAAAGTTGGTATGTGTAGAATGACATTTTCTGAAGACTGATCAATTTGTTAAAATGTGTTAGAAAACCCTTTGGTTTTTTATGTACGTCTAATATGAAGATTACCTGCTTTGTAAATGCTGAAAAATTTAATTCATTTAATTACAGGCATTTTTGGAGCTTGCCACAGAAGAAGCAGCTATCACTATGGTTAATTACTACTCTGCTGTGACACCTCATCTTCGTAACCAACCCATTTATATCCAGTATTCCAATCATAAAGAACTAAAGACTGATAACACACTTAACCAGGTATATTTGCTGTTCAGTAGGATCACAAATGCAGACAGCAGAAAATGAGGCATGGCACGTGTTCTTGTGCCATATGTTTGAATAATTCTGTTTTGTCCACATTCTAACACTCCTCTAGTCTTACCTATGGTCGTTCCATTTTATCGCACTGAAAGGCATTTGCTTTCTTTCCATTGCAATCAATTTTCTTTATGTTCCCCTAATGTCAAAAGGCAAAGATTCTGAAGTGTGTTTTTAATAGTTATTCAAAAGTTCTAAATAACTTCAAAGTTTTTGTCTTAGCTTATAGACTGTAGGATAGTAGAATTAACTTCCTTGTTCTGACACCTGCACCTCAGCCAAATATCTGGCTATCTTGAAAGTTGTGTGTTTCATGCATTTGGGAAAAGAAATCTAATTGAAAGACATTTTTACACAGTTACAGTAATTAATGTTAAATGTAGAGGTAAATTTTGTTTTCCCAACTGGAATTCACCAGGTCTATCCCTCCCCCCTCCACTTTCCTTATTCATTGATTGGATTCAGTATGAGGAGTATCATGTAAGTTGTGAGACATGAAGTTGTATTGTATCTCTAATACCTTTAAAATATGCAGTATATATTAATATGATGGTTATTATTTTTACCTGGTGTGCTCACTTCTTTCTCTTGTTTTGTATTGTTTTGCTTCATAAGGCAACTGTAATGAAAGTATTAAATGGAACCTCTTTTTTCTGCGCTTTTTCTTTCTCAGAAAAAGACATCTAATCTTTCTGATACTGTCAGTTTTGGAAGGAGTTACTTAGATGTGTGTTTTTGTTGTATCATGGTTACCTTTGAATTTCTAAAGTCCTACTTGTGTTTAAAAACAAAAAAAACCCCACATATGGAGAGGATTTTGTTTTTCTTTTTACAAAAGAGGGTGGATAACAGACACCAATTTGTTTACCTCTCTGGAGGTTTACCTTCTGACATTTGTTAGTCTTTTGTATTATTTCCTTGTGTTAAAACTGAGAAGCTTGGATGTGTTAGTTTAGAATTTTCCCTTCCTATTAGAACCTTCTACACAATTAAAATGGTAGTGAAATGTTAGCGGAGATGCAACCTAAGATAAGTTCCTCTGCTTTCTGTAGGGTTGGGGTTTTTCCTTGATTGGTTTGTGGGTTAGTTTAGTTTTATTTCCTGTAAAATAAAGAATCTTGAAACTACAAAATCCTCACTTTCTTTATCCTTTCTAGTAGAACAATAAGCTTTCTACTACAGAGATTGATATTGGTGCCTTTTGAAGCCCCCCTTAACATGACATAAGGATTAATTGCTGTTTTCATTCTTGTTGGCTCTTCTCACAGAGTCAGACTGCATTGCAGTTAACTTTGTGTTATGTCTGTAGCTCTGAGTTTTAAATAAGTGGACTATTTTGTGTTTCTGGAGTTAACTATATGAATATTTCTAATTAATTTCAAGCTGTTTTTTGAAATATTAAGAAAATCTCTCTTCTGTCATGTTTTTTTTAAGCGGGCCCAAGCTGTTCTTCAGGCAGTGACGGCTGTGCAGGCATCAAATGCTCCCATTAGTGGGACCACTGTTAGTGAGAGTGCAGTGACTCCAGCTCAGAGTCCAGTACTTAGAATAATTATTGACAACATGTACTATCCAGTAACCCTGGATGTTCTTCATCAGGTAAGTCAGATTTCACTTTAGCTTGAGCTATGATTGGGAGAAACAGATGTGTAAAACTGTACAATGTTTTTTGGCAGATATTCTCTAAATTTGGTGCTGTATTGAAGATAATCACATTCACAAAGAATAACCAGTTTCAAGCTTTACTACAGTTTGGTGATCCAGTAAATGCACAGCAAGCAAAACAAGTAAGTATAGTTCTCTTCTAAGGCTTCTATAGTTCTCTTCTAAGATCTAAGGGATCTTCCTGTACCGTCAGTATTTGTAAAATGTTGATCTAACAGAGTACTGCCATAACTGTGTTGTACTCCTCCACCGTGTGTGTGAATTTTTTGAGATTAAAGAAAATAAGTGGAAGTTAGTTGTTGTACTATGTGAAATCAGTGTTTAATGGTAGTATGCTTATGGATACTGTGTGTAAAATATTTTAGACATTTGTATGGACAAATATTATAGTAAGACTGCACAGAGATGAAATAATATGCAAGACTGCAATAGTAAAAATGTCATCTGGAAATAAGAATGTAGGATATCATGGTGATGCATAATTAATTCACTGTAAGAAGCAAATTTAGTAACTCTATTGGATTGTTGTTGGCAGGTACCTTTAACCATCCATATAAAGATGTGATTTGTGGATTAGTTACAGATTTGTGAAAGTATTTCGTTATAGTATCCTAAAAAAAATAAATCTAAACTTATTTGTAACCATAAATGTCCAGAAGAAAGAGAGCATTTTACTCATGTGACCAGACTGTGAAGAAGCTTTGCAGCAGTGATGGGTGAGCAGGATCTTGCTTTTGTTTTATAGGAAACTCTCCTATCCTGGGTAGGAGAGGCAAGAACAGGTAGCTGGTTTTATTCATTATAGCAGGAGAGAGCCTATGGATAAATTATGGCAAAGATCAACAGCATGTCATCTAGACCAGATGGTTTGAATTAATTGAATGGCATATGTTCACATTTGTGGCAGTAGAAAAGGTGAACCAAAGGGGAAGGTGAGATTTTTATTATTATTATTATAATTTTCAAGAGATAAATGGAATTAATTTGTATTTTCAAACCTTCACATGCAGTCTGAGTTTGAGGAAGGCTGATTAAAATTGATGTGCTGGTTAAGTGTTGCTTGGCAGCATAGAAAGTGCTTATTGCCTGTAGATGACAGACTAGCTGAGAACTTCAGAAAATTGAAAAGCTCACACCTCAGGCTAAGTTGGCAAATTTTCCTCTTGGTAGAGAAGACAAAATGGGCTTAATTTTCTGTTGTAAAGAATAAGGACTGTATTGAAATAAAGACTTCGTTAAGTGGTGGAGGGTGGTCATTTTTGTCCCTATCACCAAATGAAATACTGGGCATTGAGTAAAGAACTGTGAGTTGGTCAAGACAAGGAATCACAAAGAATTGAGCATGTTTTCAAAAAGCAGAGTGTAAGTTTACGTGCTATTGAGGAAAACAAGAGAGAAGAGACTATTGGCAGCTTGGTTTATGGTGGTCCACTTTAAGATAATCAACTCTAGAAAAGCAGTCTGGAAATACTTGTAGGTCTGGAACACAATTCAAATTAGGGATATCCTTTTCAGAGTTGAAACAATATCAAATATTAGATTATGACTCAGAGTAGAGAGAGATGCAAATTATCACTGTACTACATAAGAATTTGTATAGATAGGAGGATGGACCTTGCAGGTTTAAAATAGTGGTACAGAGATGACATTGTGACCTACAAGTTCTGCAGAAATCTGTAGACATTTAGATTTGTATTTGAAGTATTTGATAAATAGTTGGATGCTACATGCATTTGTTACAGAAGGGTGTCATTCAGGCTTGACTTGCGTTTAGAAAGACATTTTTCAGTAGTAGATGTTAGTTACTGCTGCTGTTGAAGTGCTTTTCTGATGCAAAATATGACATCAAGTATTAAAACTTTTGACTTAATTTTTTAAGTCATGTATATTATCAGGAAATTTAATGGCAAAATGACGTCTGCAAAATGGACTGTAGTGATATGAAAATGATTGGTGTAATTTTAGGACTATATTATAAAGAAGTTACAAATGAAAGGAATCTTGCTGTTATTCACTTCAGACAAACTGATACTAGCTTGTGGGACTGTATTAGTCTTAGAAAAACCCCAGCATGTATTTGTTTCTCCAGTTTTGCATGTTTTGATCAGGGTACCTGTTCACTTGATGTAGCGTGTGTGTGAATGACTAAACTTCATTTAATAAGTGACTCCTGCATATACAATCATTGACAGAAAAATGTTGGGGCCTTATTGTCAAATTAAAATGGTCTTAGGTTTATAGTTTCGTATTTTAACCAATCTATGTGTAAATATACAAAATGTTAAGAGTAGTACCAAGTGCAATTACTAAAGGATGCTAAATTAGAAGGAAGGTTTGATTTCCCTACTACCTTCACAAACTAAATAGAGTAAAACACAGTTCTTACAGTTAAGCCACTGTGATAAAACATGAAGTGCCACCAGAACAAAAATACCTAAAGGAAAGAAGCAGTCAGGTGATAGGGAAAAAACCCCTTCAGCTTAAATACATCTGGATGTAGAAGCAAGATGATGTGGTGGCTGCAATTAAGTTGCATGGAGTTCAAGATCAAACGCATGGTAAAAGAGTAAAGTTTTCAATTTGTTTTCCGTCCAAGTTGCTGTAGAAGATAATGGGGAAATTTAATTTTCCGGTGGCCCTCTTCACAGGAAATCAGAATATGGCCTTAATAGAAATTGAAGACTTATTAAGGAAGTTAAAGAGCAATTTGAAAAACTCAAGTGATGTAAGTACCAAGGAGAGATGCTATGCATTTGAAGGTTCTGAGAAAACAGTGACACTGACAAGAATGTGCAATATGAAGTCTCTAGCCCTGTGGGATCTCTTTTGCAATTTGAATGAGCAGCTAGTGAAAAACCTCATTCCTGCTCTGCTTGTTTTGTAAGAAACTCATTTCCTGTAAAAGTAGATAGTGGCTCCACTGATACTTGTTTTATCCCCACCCTCAGGTTGGATCATTATGGGTTCCTTAAGTGAAGACTGGGAGCTTCAGGTTCTGTATAACGCAGCAATCTAGCCAGGGTGGAGAATGTAACTGAGAATGGGCAAGACTAGAGCACAGTAAACTCTCATGCTTCTGCTAATGAAGGTTTTGTCTGGAGATGTCTGTATGCATATGGAGATATCTAAGCATTAAAAATAGCCCATTTTCATTGTAAATGGTGAATACTCTTAGCATAAGCAGCAGGCTTGAATGTTTAAACACCAGTATTTTGGTATGCTGTGAGATGAGTGCTGGTGTTCCATCTGAGAAGCTGGCTAATTCAGAGCGTTGCCTTCCTTCGTGCAGATGTACTGAAAGTATTCTTGTCAAATCATGGATATTAACAGTTATTAATGACTCATCTGTAGACAACTGAGGCTCATATGTAGTGCATGCTGGTCATCTTGACCCAGCACGGGTTAAAAATATCGCTAGAGCTTCTGTTACAGTTGGCCAGTTGATCCTTCCTTGGCCTGCACGTGATTCAAAGATTCCAGTGAAGTTTGACTGCACATGTCATCTTTCCAGTTGTTTTGCCTCACAACTTCAGGGTAACTCTGTGCTGGTAGCAGTCTGCAAAAGATCTCTGCCAATCGGCATTGCCCTGAAATATGTAGCAGGAACTTCAGGTAGTTGTTGCAGAATGGAAGAAAGGACATCTTCAGATAGGGGGATACTGAGCTGCAGGGCTATTGTCCCCTATTATTTTATTAGGCTTTTTTGGATATCTTTTGTTCTAAGGAGCACAATTTTTGCTCAGAAATGATAAGTAGTGTTCAGGTAAACAGGAGAATGCTGGATTGCATTGTATCAGAAAGCCCAGGAAGTACAGCAACAGGTCCTTTGTACATAAAATATGTTAATTTTTGAGAACAGAATGTATTTGCATACACTTTGTAGCCACAGAAACTTCTTTTATCTAAGATACTTGTCTCAAAAGAAATTACTTTCATTCAGATGCACAGATCTGTGGGATGTACTTGGGACATACGTCTCCCAAGAGATACTTAGCATATGACCTTCAGTTACTTTGAGGTACTTATTTGAGCTGGAGTATGTTTTGTAAGTGTTCCTTCCTTGGGTTTGGGGGTTTTCTTATGCCTTTAGCTTTTATGCTCTTTTAAAAATCTTGGGTTTGGTTTTTTGGGTTTGCTGATACAGCAAGATGAAGAATGGTACTCAAATTTGTAGAAGGTCTCATGGTTCTTGATCTCCTTGGTTTGGCCCATGTGTGGTGTGGTATGGTATCACATGTGAAATAAATCCTCAAAAGAAAGTTTCTTAGCAGTGACAAGAGTTCATGGAGGTGATGTTGATATGTGCATTTACTAGCAGTGAATGGCTGGTGTCATGTTTTTCAGGATGTCTGAGAGGAACAGTGTTTGAGGATTTGTTGCACATTCTTTTGCTATACAAGTAAGAGTTCAGGACACATGTTCACATTTGTGACTCTAGATGTGAACAATTAATCTTGAAAAAAATGCTGGTTGGTGAGAATCTTTCTTGCATTGTTAGAGGTGTGTGATGCTGCTGGTAGAGATGGTTGGAGTGAGGGGGTTTTTTGTTCTGGTGCTTGAATCCTTTCCTAGAGTTTGACTACAGTGCTTATTAAGAGTGCTTCTCCTTCCTTTCTGGTTCAGGATGTTCTTTCAGCCCATCTATCCCCAAACTACAAGGGATTTCTCTTGTGCAGTACTTTTTATATGTATTTTTGGTCACTTTGATTTTGGCAGAAGGAGGAGTTTTTGCTGTTTCAGTAGAAGTTTTAGTTACTTATATAGCTCCCTTTAAACACTGACTACTGTAGTAACTACAAACACAGATATATGTTGGTTTGCTACTCTTAAGTATAAAATATTTCTATCAACTTAGCAGCTTTCTGCAAGCCACAAGTCAGTATTTCTACAGACTCCACAGAAAACTACAAACACAGATGTATCTTGGTTTGCTACTTCTTAAGTATAAAATATTTCCATCAACTTAGCAGCTTTCTGCAAGCCACAAGTCAGTATTTCTACAGACTCCACAGAGGTAAAGTATGAATCTTGTTGGGTCCTGTGATTCAGACAAAGCTAAAGAATACAGGCTTTCAGTCTTGTTCACACCTGTTTTCTTCATCATGACATTGGGTGTTCCTTTGCAGGGCAGTGACATTGTTATTTGACAGTAAGTAAACTCTGGCTGGATAATTTAGACCTTCCTCTAGTCTTTATCTTAGTGGATTTTAAAAGGTAGGAAGTCTTCTGAAAGTGATGGAAGATTCTCAATATAAACTTTTCTAGGTGTAAGTGTTCAAGTGATATTCTTTCCCAAATACTAACGGGAGTCTTGGATTGTGCTTTGTCACCATGCATAAAAGAGCTAGCAAATGGTGTATGCTGTAATGGTGGTCCTCACCACCAACCCAGCCATACAGAATTAATTAAGCTTGTGCAATAAGCTATGAATAAGGACAGTAAATTTTGCTTTTGAAATATTGTATAAAGCATTTTTAAGCTGAATTTCAAGCACAGGAGTTTCTCTTTAATTGCTATTTGTTGATGCTTAGATTTTCCAGTTAAGTTTTTTGTTCTGTATGTTTTTAGAACTTCCAAACTATGGCAAAATAATTACATTGACTATCACATTCTTTTATGTTGACTAATAGTGTTAGTTCTTTTAAATGGTTTTGTGAGTCCTGGAGATTTCAGGTGTGAGAATGCTTTGTGAAGAGAGCCTTGCTGGCCGAGACAACAGTGAAATAAGAGATCTGATCTGTGTATTTGAAAATTAGCTTTATTGGAGAGCCTTGCTGGCCCAGACTTAGCAGAGGGATGTCTGCAAGATGTTCAGTTTCCAGATGCATCACTGTATGAAAATAGCAGGCACACAAGGTTTGTGCAGTGCTGAGCTCAAAATAGAAAGCCCTACCGGAACCTGGATGTGTTGGCAAGTGCACTGCAGATGTAACCCTGCTAGCTGCAAGAGCTAGCTCAGGTCCAGAAGTGGTACATTTCAGTCTAACATTTCAGTCCAAACAGTGAAATAAGAGAGCTGATCTGTGTATTTGAAAATTAGCTTTATTTTGTATTTTCAGTGCATATATACATATATATATATATATATATGGTAGCTATATTTAACATAATGACTAGATTGAATGCTAGATGAGCTGCATCGTCACTTCCTAGCATTCCGTAAGAATTAGACTGATTTTATTACAAAAGTTTCTATATTTTTAAGTCTCCCATATTTAACTGGTAGTGCTTTGAGTGAAAGGAAAATATGCCCAAAATGTAAATGGGCTCAAATCCAGGTATTGACTTGCCTGGTGAATAAGGGAGATGGAGGAAACATATATATGTATGTAAATATATATGTTGGATTTTTTAAAAAAGTGTTTTCATAGCTGTCATGTTAATACACATTCTTTCAGAAGTTCCAATTAATTGTGAAAATGGGATTTATAAAAAAGAGTGTTAGTTACATCAGGTTAGCAGTTAAAGTTGGTATTCTCTCAGTTTTGGCACTAACTACCTTTAAGGAGAGAAGGAAAGCATGCAGGAATAATGTATATTTTATGCTTTAACAGATGGCTGTCTAACATGGTAGTTAAGTCTAGATTTTCCATTTAAGATTCTTGTTTTCGTTTTTCTTTGAGAAATCTATTTGGCATTATGTCTGATTTTAAGCTCTGCTGTGGAATGCAGGTTAGTTAGCTGTATTCAACAGACACAATTTAAGTTTGACAGTGTTAAAATGGCCCTTCCCCCTTTGGTGCATAAAACCAGTTTCTGAGTAAGAAGGGAACATTGACCTTCCTGGCCTCATGTTGAGAGGTTAATGCATTTTAATTGGTTTTAAGCTGGACAGTAAGAGAGATAAATATCTATTCACTGACCTTGTTTAAAATAAAACAACCAAAAACCCCAACCTTGTGCAACCAACTGGTATTGTGTGTCTTTTAAATAAACTGTGATCTTTTTTTCAGGCCTTAGACGGTCAAAATATTTATAATGCTTGCTGTACCCTACGAATTGATTTTTCCAAATTGGTGAATTTGAATGTCAAGTACAACAACGACAAAAGCAGGGACTACACTCGTCCTGACCTTCCGTCTGGCGATGGCCAGCCAACGCTGGACCCAGCTATTGCTGCAGCATTTGCCAAGGAGACCTCTCTTCTAGGTATGATGTTGACGTTCTTCTTCTGTATTGCAAAGCCACTTCATGACAATATTAATTAATCCTTCTAACAAATTACAATAGTGTCCAAACGCCCATTCACTGTTCAGTCTATATTGTGATCTGAATTGTAGTAACATAATTATATTGTCTTTAGAAGTACTGCAAAAAATGAATGAAAACTTGCATGACAAAATGACAAATTCAAAAAGTACTAGAAAAAGTCAAGTTAGTTCAGCTTGTATCCCAAAATCTGTCCTTCCATCTTTTATATGTTCCTGTCTGTGGCCACCTTGCCCACCTTCCCACCTAGTTTTTAAGAGAGTCTTAACATGATTTGCATGATTTCTTCATGCTAATGGTTATTTGTAATATCAGATTATGAAGCTAACATTTTGCTGGTTTCCTTCAAGGGGGAAGGATTATGCTTTTTGCTTAAAATATCCAACCGTATCGTGCTACCTGTAGTTTCTGTGAACAAAAGAAAAAAATCTATAGTTGCACTTCTAGTGATATATTATAGGAGTTCTATATATCCTGTCAGCCTTTGAGGTCATCAGAAGTTGGTGAAATGCTCTGAAAAAGGTACAGATATATCTATCTTCTGACTATTACCAAAATAATCAATGCATGCTCCTACTCCTGTCAAATTGTTTTTTGAGGAGAACACCTTTCACTCTTTAAAATGTAATAGCACTCAGATATAGAATCATTACTTTTATACAAGCTGATTTATTATTTTGTGATCATTGTTCTTCCCACTTAGTCATTTTCTTTTTTCCTTCTTGGATAATTTCCCATTTTTGTCTGAAGAAAGCATAAGAACAACATAGATTTCATGGGTTTTGTACAGTCTGGGCCAAACTGAAGTAAGTTTGAGTTACTCTAGGAAAGAGGGGCCTCTGCTCTCAGTTACAAAAGATAGAAGGCACTTAGTGAATGATGTGAGCCCAGGAAGAGGTAAATATTGTAGTTAGGACTGCTGAATGTTGCACTGTATTTGCCAGTTTTCTGAAATCAGGTTACTTGAAGGATACATTTCATATCTACTTTTGTAAAATATACACAAAGTCAATTCCCTCAAATTCCAGAGCACTTGACTTTACATTTCCAGTATCGCTTGCAGCTGCAGCAAAAGTTTTGGAAAGTAAAAAAATACTGTAAGAATCTAAAGTCTCAGAAAAAAAAAAAACACTAGCTAAAGTTACTTTTCTTTTTTCTCCTTTAACTTTCCATAATTTAAAAATTGAAATCTCTCATTTTATGCTTTGATTGGGAAGGTGGATGAATGTTCATGTAGAAGTTGACACCATAGAGATGAGTGCTGTAGGGACACCCTTGAAGCAATTAGTAATTGTTTTGTTAGCCTGTAATGACTAGAACATAGGCATGAGGCTTCAGTGTGAATAGTAAGTAGACAAAAGCAAAATAAATCTGCTTATTAATGAGACCCACAATATTTAGGAGAGGAGAGAGTAAAGATTCATGAGCTATAAAACAGTGCCAAATACATTTTCTTATGTAACTCTAAATGACATTTTCCTGAGTCCTGAGAAGTTGATTTCTAGTCTCAGGCTTACTAATGTATTTCCTTGTCTATAATACTTACAGCATGCATCAAATTAACAGGTTTAATTTGCTTGGCATGGTGAAATCACACTCTGTGATTGCATCATTGCATTACTACAGACATATTTAATTGGGGTTACTGTGCTTTCTGCAGTTATCCAAGTGACTTTAGTGGACTTTATGGTCTACTACTATAGACCTGAAAGTCACTTAGATACTTTTGATTTTTATCTGCAAAATTACAGAGTTTTCTAACATTTTGATTTTAATCACTCATTCTTTTGTATATATTAAAAATAATTTCTAAAATTATTATGAAGATGACAGTCACAATAACTAATTAAATATTTTAATTTGTTCTCCTTGGGTGAACCTCCATGCATGCATTGTTTTTCTAAGCAGTAGAAAAATACAAGGTACATAATCTGAGTGACTTTCATTGCAGCAGTGAAACGTTTTCAGCATTGGTGAAGTCAGTCATGTTTATTTTGATGAACTGTGGAGATTTTATAACATGTTGGCTTTTTCTTATGTAAAAACATTCAGTGTTTCAAAAGTGACTTAGGGGAGCTGGGTACATCTTCTTAGTATGGTCCTGGCCAGTTGGGTGAGTTTGGTATATTGTTAACTCTTCATCCTTTGTCAAATGGGGATGGTTAGTACAGGCATTTTTTGTTGTTGTTATTATTCATTTTTTTCTACTTGACTTTTTTGCTGTTCTTACAGAACTTGAGTTCTCCAGCTGAAAAATATTACAAAAAGACTCCATAGTACTGTTGATGCCTTAGTCATTAGAATAATTGTCATAACAGGAATGGTGCTTATTTGAATATGGAATAACAGGATTCTTGTTCTGGGCTGCTTACTGTATAAAAAGGCACAAAATATAAATGATGTAATAAATAAGAGGACAAAGGATAGAAAAATACCAAAAACCAGAATGGATACTTGTGCATACAATTTGTAGTTGTATTTATTAAGATGCTCAAAAGGAGAAGGGTGGGAAGACTTAGAAGTTGAGAGAGTCATGGAGGTTGGCAAACTCTGATGTGTTAAGTATGGCAGAATGATAACGGCAACCTTCCTCCTTAATGTTTATTTCCTTCTGTTTGATACAGTTTCTTTCTGTATTGATAAAGAGGTCTTCAGCATATGCTGAGTTTCTGCTGTGCCTTATTCACATGGATTCTCAGAGAGCATATTTCCCCAGGAAAGAGTGGAGTCCCAGTTTGAGTTTAGTATATTCTTAAGTTCTTTTGCATGTTCAGAAAGAATACCATGAAATGGACGTGTGGCATTGCTGTAGAAGTTCTTGCTGTAGCTGATCTTTTATATGTACATCAGGACAGAAAATGCATTAAGGACTCAATTCTTCCTGTTGCTTATGTTACACTTTTATATGCTGCAAACTTGTACAAAACTTGTGTGCAATTTTTGTTGTTGGCTTTCTAGGAATATACTGTAATCCATATGTGAAAAGTGAGATTTAGGTTCAACACAGTTATGTTGCTTGATTTTTAGTGACAGGATGTAAATCTTTTTGCTCTTGGTGCTTAAATCTGCACTAAGTCTAAACCAAACATATCTCGGTTTCCTTCTGGGTGAAGTTAACGCTCCACTTCAGTAAATGTAACTTGATGATGTAACTCTTGCAGCTTTGTAAGCTGTTAAGCAGAGATGTTAAGCTGCTGTCTCCCCCAAAGCTGTAGGAAGTAGGACAGGGACTAGTCAGAGAGCCATGAAAAGGGTTCCTACCAGGTCTATAAACCCAGTCCTTGGTCAATTTTACTTACCTGCATTAAGATGATTACTAGTGCCTGTGGTTTTCATGGAAGTTGATAATATATTTTTAGTATAGCTTCAATTTGCCTACTATGAAAATGGCATTAACAATTTGCATTTTGGAGGTTACACAAAAGGATAAACTGAGAGGGAATAAATAATGTGATATATGTTGTATTTTAACTTCATTGAGGAAAAGGCCTCAAAAGGCTGGAAAGAAGGTATATGATATTTGTATGTTTCCATTAATATTTTGAAAAAAACAGAAGCCTGTTATCTGTAGTTGTTGGAAGCTAAAATAAAGCCAATGACAAAGATTTCTAATACTAGTTGATCGTGTTGACAACGTAGCTAACATTTCTAAATAGTTTCATACAAGTCCTAAACAGTGTTACGTGGTAACTTTTTCATAATAGAGACTCTTTTTATTTTTATTTATTAAAAAACTTTTCATTGCTTTAATCAGAATGGCAAATCAAAGTACAGTGGAGACTGCAGACCAAGAATTCTGTTCCACAGTTATTTGCTGTGGCTTTGTAATTTGTCTCACCTTTTCAAAAAATGAGATCTATGTATGCTAAGTCATCAGTTAAAAACATATCAATCAAATAGATGGTCTAGCCTGCGTGAATCATCGCTCATTCATCTACTGCATCCTCACCTGTGATGAAATAAAGTTTCAGAAATCTTTGAGTCTGTAAACTGGACAATATTCAGTAAGTGTTAAGGTTTTTTGAAAGAATGAGAAAATTACTAGTGAACTAAATGAGCTGGTTTCAAATGAATGACCAGAGGCAATTTCTTTTTCTTCTGTTTTTCACCTCACATATGAAACAATAGATATAGTCTCCCTCCTCTTCAACACCCCCAAAAAAAAGTTACAGATGTCACAGAAAAAAGCTTTGGATAAACAACGGCTGTATTGTACTGAGCCACAGCAAACAAAATATTTTACATAAGAAGTACTTAAAATAGCAAATACTGCTATACGTTAATCACAATTTAGATATTTGTTTAATATTGCAGCTGGAAATACACTGTTGTGCTGGAAATACACTACTGTGCTTAGGGCTCACACAGCTTTATCCCTAGCTGTCATTGCTGGCATTCTTTGTTAGCACTTTCCACTCATGCCCCTTTTTGAGATTCTTGCTGACAATTTTGAAGGATAATAATTGAAAATACTTTTATAGGAATGGTGTTTAATAAATCATTGTTTTTAACTTCTTTGGTGGGAGCAAAGAATGTCCTTGGGAGAGTCTGATGCTATGAAGAATTTTGCCTTTTAAAGTATGAGTTACTTGGCTGTGCTGTGCCCAGCTATGGAATGAACCATAAAAACTGCACGGTTTTTAGATTCCTTTACTCCTGAAAATGGTGGACTGGCTTAAAGTTTCTAAGGTTAGGGAGAGATGCCTAGACATACTAGAAGACCGGGTAGCTTGACATTTTCTAAAATGTAGAGTGATTGCTATTGACCTAGTATAAAATAAGTTGTATTTCCTTCAGGTCTGTCATGTCTTGCTGTCCTGGAAAAGTATTTTGATACAACATTGCTCTTTTACTGAACCCTGCATGATGTGCAAATGGCAGTGTTGATCAAATAGTCTTCTTTAGATTCCTTTACTCCTGAAAATGCTGGACTGGCTTAAAGTTTCTAAGGGTAGGGAGAGATGTCTAGACATACTAGAAGATCAGGTACCTTGACATTTTCTAAAATGTAAGTGATTGCTATTGACCTAGTATAAAATAAGTTGTGTTTCCTTCAGGTCTGTCATGTCTTACTGTCCTGGAAAAGTATTTTGATACAATATTGCTCTTTTACTGAACCCTGCGTGATGTGCAAATGGCAGTGTTGATCAAATACAATAAATCTGTTCCTATATAAACCGTGTATAGTGCAAATGTATCACAAGAACCTTTCCTGAATCCTGCGAGTAGCACACTCAACTCACACCCCAATGACGTGAGCAGACAAAACCAGCGTTTCTCTGCGGGGTCCGAGTTTCCTTGAAGAGGAAAATGTAAAGGCACAAGTGACGCTTTAGCTGAGGGTAACATGCTTCTTCAGAGGACTGGATTACTAAAGCCACAGAGCATGTTGAATTTAGAGAGTTGCCTCCCACCCTCATGCTAGGGTTGTGAGAGATGTGTAAACCTCTTCATGTGGCCAACTGCACTGTTGGAGATTTAGTGAAAAGCACCAAGTTGAGTGAGAAGCATCTCCCAAATGATGATGGGAAATAAAGATATAATGATGCAGAGAGCATCATAATAGTGTTTATTCTTACTGATTACTAACAAACACGTAATAGTGTTTATTCTTACTGATTACTTTAGACCATTTGATAAACTAGACACTTCCAGCATTTTGGAGTGCAGTGGAAAGTTTTGCTGCACAATAATTATTTGAATAGAAAGTACTTTTTATACCTCATAACTTTTCAGACTTGATCTGAAAAAAAAATTATACATTTCAGCACAATAATTGTTGTTTGAATAGAAAGTACTATATATATAGTTATACCTCATAAAGTTATACCTCATAACTTTTCAGACTTGATCTGAAAGAAAATTTATACATTTCTGTTACGTTAATTTACCAATCCATTTCACAGCCCTTTGGATGACGTTACAGTGGTATTATCTGCTGTGTAGAGTGGTGTATACAGCTCTAGTACTGATATAGGAACTTTTTTTTTAAAATGACTTGTGTGTGTTTCGTAAAATATGCTTTATTTTAAAATTAGGGCTTCCTGTTGCAGCTGTTCCAGGAGCTCTGAGTCCTTTGGCTATTCCAAATGCTGCTGCTGCAGCTGCAGCTGCTGCTGCTGGCCGCGTGGGAATGCCTGGAGTTTCAGCTGGTGGCAACACAGTCCTCCTGGTTAGCAATTTAAATGAAGAGGTAAGTGAAACAATTTTACTTTTTTTCCCCCCTCTCTTTAGTCACACTTCATTTGTCAGTATTTTATAATTTCTTTGCATTTGGCCTCTTACATTTGGATTTTAAGCTCAAAGTATTTTTGCTGTTTTTTTAATAATCCCCGAAGTTTATTTTAACGCCATTGTTAAATACATTTTTGTTCCGGGTAGCTCACAACTTAAAATATCCTTTGACAGTCAGCTACCTATTTTTTATAAGAAAAATTTGGTAACTTCTTTATGTTTGAATACCAACTATTCTTTCTTTTGTAACTGTAATCATGTAAACTAGAATTTGTGTTTTGTTTCTAATTGTTTGCTGTTTCATTTCATGCTTGTATCTCACATTTTTGAGTCTTAATTTATGTGAACTACTCTAACGCATTTTTCTTTGAAGGTTCTCCCAAAGATCTTGACGAGGCACTCTTCCAGTCTGTCTTAGTAATTTTTTTTTCTTTGCAGTTACTCATTTGTCTTAAAAAAAAAAAGTGGTGGCAAAGCATTTTCACCTTAACTGTATCTTCTTGCTAACTCTGAAATCTAAAGGGATTTAGTTTTGCATTTTTACTGTCCTTTACATTTATTTTGATGGCTGTGAAAGCTGGTATGAAATGTGGGAAGTTTGTATCAGTCTAGCTGTTCCATTTTTAACTGGCCTCTGTCACTGTAAATCATTAAGCTTTTTTTATCATCTAGTACTATTTTGTCATCCACAGTCGTGCATGTTAAAACGTTTCAGATCAGAGTGCCATTTTGAAAGATATTTTGCCTGCATTTCATAACCAGCCATGCTTACGCAGTTAAAGTTTAAATTTTAAAATTTCTATTGCATGCTTTTTTTAATTTATTTTCATGTTGAGATGAAATGCTGTAGTTTACTCTTGATATGAATGTACTTTACCCATATTTGTCTTGGGTGACTACATTTTACTCAGTTTTTCTTGTACAGTACATAAACCAACCATTTTCTGACCAAATTCCTACATTTCCTATGTACTGACCTATATTTTATTTTTTTTTTGTTCCCCACTTCCTTATTTTTTTTTCTTCTGCATTGCTGTATTCCCTCCCCCATTTCATCCTTTTCCCTGTGTGTTCAACTTCCCTTTCCTTGTCTTTACCCAAATTCCCATACCCTTCCCTGTCTTCCCCTTCTCCTCGTCTTTGTCTACGTTCCCTGTCTTCATTCCCTATGTTCATGCTTCTGTGCTTGAACAAAATGTTCCTCGGACCAACTTGCCCCAATTAACCGCCTTGAAACCATGATCCATGACCACCTCACCATTCTGCGGGAACCACCCTTCGTTATGGATGATCTGTTCATCTCCGCTCTTCCTCGACTCTTCTCTCTTCTTGTCTTACGCTGCTTGCTCTTCTCTCCTTCTAAAGATGGTTACGCCCCAAAGTCTGTTTACCCTCTTCGGTATGTTATTGTTAGCACTATACTTTTATTATTGATTTGGTTTTGTTTTTATGGTTTTTGTTTGGTTGGTTTTTTTGTTTCACCTTAATTCTTATTTGTAGCTAGCACTTTGGCTTAAAGTTGAATAGTAAATCTTTTGCTATTTTTCTTTTGCTGTTTAAATCTCTCCATAGACACAGATTTTCTTTTAATGCATGCTAATATATTTTGCATGGTCTTTAATTTTATATCATTCACATAGCTTTGAGGGTTTATCAGAAATTATTCTTTTCAAAATTCACTATTCAAAATCTTTATCTCCTTTATTCATTTGTGAGTGTGTTGAGTTTGAGCGAGTGATCTTGTTGCTGTCTGAATGTTCCATTGATATGTCAAAATATATTACTTAGGTGGCTGGCTTTAAAATGAACTTTTCCTTTTGGGTTACTTTTGACTTTGAAAAGGTGTTTATGGTGATGTGCAGCGTGTGAAGATTTTATACAATAAGAAAGATAGTGCTCTTATACAGATGGCTGATGGAAACCAGTCACAGCTGGGTAAGATTAGTTTTCTGTTTATATTCCCATTAGTCTAAGTACTTGGAAATTAGGGTGTATAAGATCAGGTGAACTAAATGTATTTATATTTGTCAGTCTGTCTCTTATCCTGGTTATCCACCAGATCCAAAATCTTTTTGCATGCACTTGTGTTCAGAAGGTCTGCACTTAAATGAGTACCCTAAATGAATTCAACAGCTGAATCAAATATGATGATCCCTGAGTAAAATTAAATATTGACAAAGAGTCTGCAGACCTAGTTCTTGATTCTAGTCCTTTAGCATACTGACCCTTTGATTTGCTTGAGTGCTTTTCTTCTTTGCATGTGTGATGTACAACAAGCTGTTGAACAGTAGCACTCAATTGAGTAAACTTGTCTTTTTCAGCCATGAGCCATCTTAATGGACAAAAAATGTATGGAAAGATCATTCGGGTTACCCTTTCTAAACATCAGACAGTACAACTACCTCGAGAGGGACTTGATGACCAAGGGCTGACTAAAGATTTTGGTAATTCACCTTTGCACCGCTTCAAGAAACCTGGTTCCAAAAACTTCCAAAATATATTCCCGCCTTCTGCAACACTTCATCTGTCCAATATTCCGTAAGTGCTCGCTGTCAGCAATCTGATAATATTTATGTGAATCACAGCACACTGAGCTGACTAATGATTTCCTGCTTGTGCTTATTTGCTCCCTGTCTGTAGACCATCAGTAGCAGAAGAGGATCTACGCACATTGTTTGCTAACACTGGAGGCACTGTGAAAGCATTTAAATTTTTTCAGTAAGTACCTTTTCTGCACATAGCTCTAAAAAAAGAGTTTTGCAGCACATCTTAAGAAAAACTACATATCAAATAGCAAACCCCTGCAAATTAGGAGCAACCCCTGTAGTGTTCGAGTTCCTAATTCCATTGTTTTGTTTCAGAAGAGATCACAAGATGGCACTTCTTCAGATGTCAACAGTAGAAGAAGCTATTCAGGCTTTGATTGATCTTCACAATTACAATCTGGGAGAAAGTCATCATCTGAGAGTTTCTTTCTCTAAGTCAACTATTTAAAAAGGCAGATAGAGAATGAAGGTGTATTGCATTGTTTGGTGTTGTCACCTTTTGACTGTTCAGGAAAGTGGGGACCAGAGTTTGTCTTCTGTTTTTTATTTCTTTTCATGCTGTTACCATTCCTTGATTGTTTTAAAAAAAATGATTAAAAAAAGGCAGTGATGTTAACTGCTTTTCAACTGTTCAACTGTTGTTTAGATAAACCATTGTTTTGTTTAAAGGATTTCAAATTGATACCACATTTTTTCAACTTAGTTGACGTACGTGCCTTAAAAAGGAAAATTAGTACTGCTGGAATTGCATAACTAGTAAAAAGCAAATTTGGTTGTCTGGGGCACATTGTTACATGATAATTTAAATATGTTTAGGCAGGGGTGTGTAAAAAGGTTAAGTTTTTGTTTTCTCCTGCTTGATAGATTTCTTTATCTGCTGGCTTGTCACTTATTTTCTTTTTAATTGGATAAGATGCATTACGGTGAAAAAGAACAGTTCTTTTATTTGATTTTTGCTACTTTTTGCTATGTGTTCTTTTTTAAAAATGCCTTTGTATTTCATTGTTCTGGTCTAGATTCAGTTATGAATGTAGGCATTAGTTAAAATTAACAAGATACAGAATATTAATTTCTTAAAGGACAAAAAGTGACTTCTGTGACTTTGAGCCCTACGTGATAAGCATTGTGGAATCTTAACCTTTTTGTACACACTCTTGTGGGATGTATCATATAAATGTCAGCACTAAGTAATGTCTTGTTTGTGGCTGAATATTTTTCGTAGATGTTTTTGAAGTTGACATGACTTACGTGCATTTCAATATATATTGCCATCTTTAGTTTGTAATTAAGATATGGAATATGGTTGTGGATTTCTGAGCATGTACAGACTGGTCAAGCTAGTTCAGGAAATGGTGCATGTATTTTTCAATGATGAAGAAAGTTCGCTGCAAATCTTGCAGGAAATTTTGTGGCAGTTTTCTAAAACTGACAACCAGGTGGGACCAAAGTTTATGTGCCTTTAGTCTTAATTTACCTTGCATTGTAATATTCAGTTTTAATAAATCTCTTCAAAATATTTTGTATTTAGGAATTGATCTGACTTTACTACAAATATGGCTCAGAATCTGCAGATCCAGTTAATTTGAAAGCAGTTCACTGACAGTCTGAACTGTTACCTTGATTCTGTTTAAATGACCAATACTTTTTGAAATTGATGTACTTAGTTTCAAGATTCATAGATTCTGTTATCTATGTAGAAAAAAAAGGTCATGTATATTTTCTATTAGTTGAGTTTTTACATCTTTAGAATTGTAAAATTCAGTATAGTTTGGAAGTGGCACAATTAAAAATTAATTTTCTAACAAAGTTGGGAGGTTTGATGGTTGTTTAATTTCATTTTGTGTGTACTCTGCTTACCTCTGTAGCATGCTCAATAAACACTTCTGTAGCTCTGTATTCACCTTTTCTGTCTTTCTCTGCTGCTTTCTATCTCTTCTCTTCTTTGTTTTTCACTTCTACTGTGCTTCTAAATTCATGTTATTCTCTGCCAGGGTGGGAAAAGCATAATATAAAAACTATTATTTATGGCTTTTTACCATAAATCTGATGCTGTGAAAAATACCAACTCTTTATTTTCAGACAGTGACCCCTTTGCAGGCATATGTGCAAATTAAACATTTCCCACCCTGTTATAACTTACTGCTTTAAAGACATAACCTTTATTGTAGTTTGTTAGCTCTCTCTTTCTATCTTTTTAGTTTTTAAGCAGATTTATGCACTAATAGATCTCAGGTTTGCCATGCTCTCTTGCTGCAAGTTTCATCTTCCATTTTTTTTGTGTGTGCTAAAGATTTTCTACTAATCATACAGTACACTCATGGGTGAAAGTAACAAAGGATTTCACATGAGATCCGTGGACCATACATGCTTGAGAACAGCATACTTCACCTTTTCAGTTTCATGGGTTCAAATGAATCTTAGAACAGTCTAGGCACTTCAGTAGTTTTTCTGTATATTACTTTGAATTGATTGTTGTGGGGTTTTTTCCCTTTCAGATAGAAATAGGATTTCACACAGTTGCCATTTAAGAGTAACTGAATGATCCTGGAGCATTCGGTAAAAGCTGTCAGCATTCAAATGAAAGCATTTTTCAGTCACTTTCCAGTACAACCACTGTAGGCACATTGATGTCAGATTACCTTGTGAACTGATGTCTTCCTTTGGGTGGCTTTCAAATCAGTAAATAGCTATCAGCTTTTGAAGGTCAGGGTATAATGTAGGGGCTTGAATTAAGACTTAATACATTAAATAAAATGCATTTTATCAGAATTACACCCAATATATGATTTGAGTTATACTCCAGGTGTTGCAGTGATCACCCAATCTGAAGTGCTGATAGAATCCTATTCATCCATAATCAAAGTTTGTGAATCAGCATCTTTTTACAGCTCAAGCACCCAAACGCACAGATGTGACTGTTTCCAGTGATTTAAGCAGTAGTTCAGGGTCTGACTGAGCTGATCTGTTACATTTTTCATCTGTACAATATGATGTCCCATATTTTTCTAAAATAAAAGTGTGTCAGATTTCCTTTTGTGTATCAGAATGTGCTTGTGTGTTTCAACTAGAAATGTGACTTGAAATTTGCCATTCTGTGTGTTCAGCTTGTGCTGAATTATTTCCACGTGTATCAGATAGCACACAGTGATTGCCATATGTGTAATTTTGAAATAACTGTAAACATCTGCATTGTCTGATTGTGTATAAATATAGGGGTTTATAAAAGGGTAGCTTACATTCTTCTTGCCAGGCTTATTTCCTTAAAAAGAAGTTTCTATACTTTTCTCATTTTGAAAATTTCTGTGGCAAAAACCTCAAGGGAAAGAGTATATATTGGCTTTGACTTGTTATAAATTCAGCAGCTTTTATTATGAGGTTATATTTGTATCAGCCAAAATTAAAAGTAATGACAGTCATAATTGTCATGAAAGCATTTTTTATTAATCTGAAGAAAATCACTGTTCAGTTATGGATACTTAGTCTTTAAAGTGGTATCTCTTCAGAAAATACAGACTTAGTAATGTCCTAACTCCTAGAACTTTCAAAAACTTGTTTTTCATGCGATGGTAATGCATTTTGTATAGTAATTTGTACATTTTTGTTGTTACAAAATGTAAATAAGTTTCTGTATTTTTAGCTCTTCAGAATGTGAAAAGCATCACTTTTATTAAAATTTTACTAAAAATGAGATTCATGAATAACTTCTTACACTCCATGGAATGTGAGTTTTCAGATTGTTAGTAAAACTTTACCATAGTCATGGTGTTTCTCCAAACTCAATTTCAGATTTTTAAAATAATTCTGGTATTTTGTCAGAGGGCAGTTGCTGACTTTTATTTCTTTGTGAATCATTACATTTTTCTCTGGTGGAACAATGATACTGGTTGGAGAAGTTCGGAAATGATCTTTGATCAGATAATGTTGAGTGGCAAATACAGTATTAAGTGAAATAAACCAAAACCTTATAGCATTCTAACTAGAAATTGGGGGAAAACCTCAAAGGTAAGTGAATACACTTAAAAATATTTCTGTCTATTGTGATTTAATGTGTTATGAAAGGCACTTTTGGCCTTCAGGAATAATAGTTCATACAACTATTTGTAGCTTGCCATTTTTAATGTTTTACATTAAGAATTAGTTTTATAAGCCATTTTACAAAAACAGTTTATTTGATTCTTTATATGTTTCCCTATGTTTTCTAGTATTGCAGCATGACAAGATTAATAAGACCCTTCTATCTGTAGGATTTTAGGGCGCAGTGATTTCAAACTCGTTTACTCCAAATAATTTGTCTAATTCTGTGCTTAGATAACATGTACAAGATTAATAAGATCCTTCTATCTGTAGGATTTAGGGCGCAGTGATTTCAAACTCTCGTTTACTCCAGATAATTTGTCTAATTCTGTGCTTAGATAACATGTACGTCTGTCAAAACATGAGAAAAAATGAATTGTGGAGTTTTTTTGCCAACAGGAATATAAATCCAGTAGTCCCATCTCAAGAAATGGATTTCCTAGTATCAAACGTGTTACAGTGAGCAAGACTGCTCAAAAGGTTTAACCGTGTTATGTAGGGATGAGGCTGAAGTCCTTGTTCTGTTCCAGACACTGAGACAACCTGAAACTCAGATTTGCTGAGATGAACAAATTTTCTTCTAAATAATTAGGCCGAATATCCCATGTCTTTCCCATGTCATGTAGTCCTGCTGTGTGTGTATATATAGATATACATACATGTGCATATATATATTATACACACACACATACATGCATATATAAGGACATCTGTAGTATTTCTTACCTTCCTGGTTTCTTGGGGAGCTGAGCAGCTGTAGCCTACTAGTGTGATTCCAGCCATACAGAAGAGAAGAAGAAAGAAAGAAGGATTTTTTTTTTTTTGAAACTATAGGATTTGGTATGGTATTTTCTACTTAATGGGCCTTGGTAAAGTTAGTCAGTCAGTAGAGTGCAGTAATCTTAACTATAGAGAATGATGAACCATTAATTATTCTGTTAGTGCATTGGCTTGCTAGAACCAGCGACAAAGTTCCTGCCTTGCTGTGGAATTATAGGCTATAATAATGCAGCTTTAAAGAATTCCTTTACCTTGTTTTTTCCTTTAATGTAATAATTTATTTAGTATCACATAATCCGAATATTTTGAGGTTTGAAATTCTTTCCAGTGCATGTGTTTGGTCTTTGAGGATGGTTAACAAAAAGAGATTGGTGAGTTCCTGCTTCACCTTAAAAATTTTTACAACTTGCTATATCTGTTGTTGTTTTCTGAGTTGAGTGGATTTTCCTCTGATCAACAGTCTAAATTTGGAAGCGGGTTACATTGCTTTGTTTTTTCGCTTTCAAAGTTTACAGCATGTAATGTTTAAAATCTGATTTTTCTTGATTGGTTCTGCAGGCAGGCAGCAAAGGAAAACTGAAGAACTTTTTTTTCCTTGGGAAATATGTGAATTAAATGCAGATTGATTTAAATGTCTCAAAAAACTTAGCTGAAACTAGCACTCCTATTATGGAAGAGTTCTGCATGTTTTATGAGTTTTAGCCCGTTTCTTTAGGAGATGAGGCGTGTGTAATTGCACCATCTCTGTGTGAAGGTGCTGTTCCTGAGATAACCCATCTCTTCCTTGTCACTCCTGTACCCTTTGGTTGCCTTCCTGGCAGGCAGAGGGGATGCAGGTCTCCAGTAGTAGGGCATTTCTGTTTCTATCCTCAGGATTAATTGGCTTGCTAGGTCCCAGTCCTTATTTCAGTCCTATGGGGGAGGGAAGGGAAGATCAGGTGCCTTCTCTTTTGCCAGGGCTTCTCAAAGAGTCATGGAGCTGGTTCTCTCCCTCTTAAAGGGCAGCAGCTTCAGAGGCAGCCAGCGTGGTGGGGCCTGGGGATGCTGGCTACAGGCATGACGAGTGCAAGGGAAGGGATATTTTGCAGGAGGAGCTGAGTATTGGGCAGAGGAGTGTTGAGGGTGTTTCAGTAGCTTGCTTTCAGTTGTTTCATGCATACATAGACGTGAAAAATTATTGACAAGGTGAGACATGTTGACTGAATAATTCTGTAGGGGTATTTTACAAACTACTCGGAAAATATGTAGTCCAGCTTGGGAAGTAGATGTGATGTATTTTCACTTTGACTCAACAGGTACAGGGGTGTCAGAGCTTAGCACTTGCCTGCAGATTGCTGTGGAAGCTGGTTTTCCTAGGATGAGTACTTATCATCCCTGGAAGCCAGCAAGACTGAAAGCCTGAAGCCTCTAGCCCTAGGTTAGGCTACATGTCAGGGTAGTTTAGGATGATTGACACTGATGGCTGGCCAAAGAGCTAGATAAAGTGAGCTAGTGGGATCCAGGAAGAGATTTGTTAGAGGAGTCATCAAGTGACATGTGGGGACTGGCATTTTTTGATGAAAAATAGAAACTAAAATTTCTGACTGTATTCCATGGCAGGTTACACCAGTGTCCTTTGGGCTAACCCTAGTCCCTCTAGTTCCTTAATGCCCGGGGCTTATCTCTGACAGCATCAACTCTCTTTGAAGATCTCAGTTGTGCACCTGAAATCATGCTGGACTAGTCCATTTTCTGAAGCAAGAAAGGTTTCTTGGCAGCTGCATCATGATTTGTTGTGTGTGGTGGGATACTGGCCTTTCCACATTAAAACACTGGCAGTCCTCAGCTAGTAAAGTCCTGGTGCTGTGTCAACAAAATACTCCTTTCATCATGCTGTGCTTTGTTGTCTAAACATTAACCTTCAGGTATTGACTTAGATAATTTGAGTAAGCTTTTTGTGAACAATGTTTATCTTTAAAAATAAGGGAGCTTTTCCTTTTTTCCTCTCTTTTTAGAGAGAGGGAGATTTTCCTGTTGATTATAGTAAATAAACTAGAGGTTGC